GGTATTGCAGCTGCGGTGACAGCACAGGCTTCACAAATGCCACATTTGAATTTGCCTTTGAAGGACAAATTCCGCATTTTCAGGCAGGAGCAAAGGCATAGCGTCATTAAAGCATTTGGTGTTTTAGGGGATTGTTGCCCAGTCTGGCCAGCATGAAGAGTGCATGATGATGATGAACTGGAAATAGACCAGAGTCTGCACTCCATGGTGTGAGCCGTGGACAGTCGTGAGACTTTTCAAACAAGGGGTGAGATGTTTAGGTCTGTACAGTTAGAAATTGACTTCATTCTTCAGGATGGACTGTTGATGTGGAACAAGGAGACTTTTACTGGTGATTTCAGCTTCTGGGAAGAGAGACTTAAAACTCTGAATGGACCTTTGAGAACAGTATGAAATGATTAATAATATTAGGAAGGGGTTGAGTATAGACCTGATCAAGGTCTTGTGCAAGGTCTTGATTTGAAGCCTTGTGCAATAGATTTAAGGAGTTCCCTTAACTTTTTGTATCATTTTGGCACATTAGGAGTTAGGAAGGCTCAAACTCCATAGAATGTTTCAAGTATGGATTAATAGTTTAGTAGTAAGTTGTATTTTTTATATTTTGCAAGCAAGTTTTTTGGACTTAGAATACACTTCTCCATATAAATATTCTTACAAAATCATGTCATCAAGTGCCCAGAAATGGGAAAGGAGGCAGTTCCGTGATGGTGGAAGGAAACTGGGGTTTGGAATTAGACTCATAGGTCCAGGTAGTTCTTGCTGTTTATCAGCTTTGTGCCTTTGGGAAAATAACCTCTTGAAGGCCCAGTTTGTAAAATGGGAATAAATACTGGCAGGGTTCTGAGAGGCAAATGAGAGAGTTTGTGAAGGTGCTCTGTGAATTTTAATTAAATACTAGTTATGAAGCACACGTGTAAGGGAAACATTAAACATGAATGGGGAAATGTGTTCATCTGGCTACCTGTTGCTGGCTGCGGTTGCAGGGAGAGCTGCCTGCAAGGTGTGTGTGTGGGACTACGGAAGAGAGAGGAGAGAAAGGATAGTGGATCTCAAACTTTGCATGCAGAAGACTCAGCTGAGGAATCTTGAAAATGCAGATATCAGGGCTCTATTTCCCAAGAATCCTGCTTGGGGATGGGTGTGGGGTCCTAGGAAGGGACCAGGGACTTCTGAGTCACCTTCTGGGGCCGCACCTTGTGTGAAGCGGGGAGGCTGGGAGAGGAGGTGAGAACTGGTAGGGGGTACTGGTGCTGGGTGGGGAAGGAATAGGTTTTAGGAGCCACTGAGGATTGAGCAGAGCCAGGTAGAAGAACCCCCTCCCCCATCTCTGTTCTTCCTGCCTGCCTTACTGCTGTTGACTATTGCGAGCCAGGCTTGGGGTGGGGCAGGGGGTGTCCTCTCCCCACTTTCCTAGGGCACATCCTGGAATTGCTGGTATGGGGTGATCTGGAGGGAAAGAACAAAGGCCACAGGTGGCTTTGAGAGCTGTGGCTGGAGGGAGAGATGGCAGAGGGAATGTGACCTGGGACCAGACTACAGGAACCTCTCCTAGGGAAGGGGAGTGTGGCCCACCCCACTTTGCTGCTCCTCCCACATCAGCTCCTAGGGCCTTCCCTGCTCTGCTGAGACTTGGAGAACTGGAGGCCTAGGCAGTTGGCTGCAGGTTGCCAGGGGTCTAATTTGCACTAAGTCTGTGGGGATTCGAGTTTTGGAAAAACGTGTGTGTGTGTGTGTCAGTCAATGTATATTCAATTTTGTTTTATTATGTGGGCATAATTTAGGATTATTTCATTTCCCCTCTTAACTATCAAATTGTACTCATTAATTAAGCAAATGTCTGGGTCTGGCTATGTGGTCAGCCTGGTGCTGAGCACTATAGTAAAGTTCAGTGAAACACTGTTTCTACCCTCCTGGGAGGTTACTTTCCATTTTGTTTAAACAAGATTCTAGTAAAAGGAGGAGAATAATTCTCAGTGAAGCAGCCACTCAAATCTTCTAAGAATGAAAATTGATATAATATGACATATAATAGGGTACAAAATCTATTAAATCAGAAATTGGAAGGAGTGTCCAGTTTAGCTTCAGAGCATGGGTAATTGATGTGCTTCCAGCAAAACATAAGAGCTTTTCAGAATTTTCAGCTGTAGGGTTGTAGTATTTTGAATTAGGTTATAAAGCAAACCTTTTCTGGAACACCTTTTTCCTATAGAACAGGTCTGGATTTTTTGGAGTCAGTTTTTAAAAAATGTTCTGATTTTATAAATGCTGTATTTGTCTCAGTATCTCAGAATAGACAAAAATAGAATATATGTTAAAATGGAAAAAGTGAATTATCAATTTTGTTACACTCCCAAAAGTCTATACACAGGGTTGACAGTCACTGGATACATTTGGAGAAATTTTCTGTAGGCAAGAAGACAAAAACTCTTTAGGGATGCCTTCAGAAATTTTTGAAATTTTATGTCTTTATGCTTAAATTATATGCATACAAGGCAGTATCTGCTTTATTGGGCCTTTCATTTTTAAATGACATATACATGTAATTTATTTAAATTTTTAAAGCATAGCTCTACATTTAAATAAAAATGAATAGCTTCTCTAAAACATACTGCTTGTATCAATAGATGAATTGTGACTTTTTCCCCTTTTTATCATAAAAAAAAAGGGAGAAGGAGAATAAGATATTTGGGGAGGTCTTGGCCTTTGTCTCATGCCCTCTGTCCTCAGAAGCCTGGCAGTGCTTGGCTGTCAGGTCAGAATCCCTGTCTCCAGCCTCCCTTTCTCTGTTTACCTGCTTTGTTTCCTTGGGCAAGTTACTAAAATAAAGTTCTCTGGCCTCAATGTCTCATCTGTATCGTGGGGACATAGTTGTACCAACTATATAGGGTAGTTGTGAAGATTTATTTAGTTCAAGTAAAGCACTTAAAAAAGTACCTGGTATGGAATAAGAATTCAAATGTTAGCTGCTTTATTATTATTACTGCAAGGTTGAAATGAAAAAAGGAATTCAAAACATTGGGCAGATTGTGAATTGACTCTGGAGACTGTGAAAGAGTGCCATTGAAATGCCAGGAACTCCAAGAACTGTTTACTCTAGTGCTGCAGGGATTGAATTAAATGAGTTGAAGGAAGGCACCAAGGCTGCTTTACACCTTCCATTCTTGAGAGAAATTGTGGCATCCTGAAGAAGTAAGACAGATGATGACCTTGAAAAATCCTACTTATCACTCCAGAATTGTGAAGATCAAAGGCGAATTTAAAGGCATAATGTGAAATGAAGGCATTGCTGTTAAAGTCAGCAAAAGACAGGTTGCTCTCTTATACCAAAATTATTTAGTATAATTTAGCAAGTTGAATAATTGAAGGTATGTACCATATTCTAGAAGTCTATTATTGTACAATGGGAAGAAGAAACTAACAGTAAAATTATAAAGGAGGAGCAAAATTACCATTTTAAAATAATACTGTTTAAAATGGAGAATTGAAGCTGATAAACCAAAAAAACTAAGAATTGATAATTCAGTAAATGAATCAAAAATAAATATATTACAAAATAAATTCAGTTCAAAAATAAATATGTTAACAGTATCTTGTAAGGCATAATGAAAAAAACATTTCATATGGATGTAAGAAAAAAAAAATGTTAAGCTTCCTGGAAACACTTAAGAAATGTGAATTAACTATGTATTAAATACGCATTAACTCTACTGATAGGATTTTTGTCAAGGGCAATTGATAAGCAAGTTGAATAATTAAAGGTATGTATCATATTTATGGATATAAACATATGAATTTGTATTGTAAACATGTAGATTCATTCCGAATTAATTTATAAATGAAATCCCAATTGTAACCTCAAAAGGATTATCAAAGTGTAACTATCAACTCTTCAGTACAATAAAGGTGACATGTATGTTCTGTGAGAAGAATGATTTATCCAGAACATGGTTATTAGATCCTTGAGAGAATAAAGCCTGTGTTATATTATGGGCGAATGAAGTTTTCAAAGGTAGAAACCCAAAAAAGGAAATAGATGGGTAGATTTGTCACCAACCACAAAACATTTCAAAAGATCAAAGTACCATATGCAAACAAATGTCAAATCACAAGCCTAATTCAATATTTGCCATTTCAGTGATCTAGAAAGAGTAGGTCTTGGTCTTTTATAATCATTAACGTCTCTTGGGCAAGATGTATTTTTTTAATTTTTAAAAATATAAATACTTCTTTAAGAATGAGGCAACACGATCTGAACTGTTTGGTTTTCATTTCTGAGAGTCATTTCATAGTTCAATTCTTTAGTTAGTAGTTATTTAATCAAAACCCTGCCATGAGATGAATCTTGTGATCTAAAAAGATTGAATGTTATTTTTTGGATTCGTATTTTAATGTATTTTTTGACCTTGGACAAAAGAAAACTATTGATTCTCATATGAGAATGAATTTTACTGTTAGTTTTTTCTCTCAACTTTTCTTTCTTCCTTTTACCCTTCCATTTCTTCTTTCTTCTTTATTTGTTTCATTTTAAGTTCGTGAAAAAATAGTAAAATTTATTATAAAATTCCAGATGTTACAGCAATGGGCATACAGATGGTAGTGGGTAGTTCCTTCTTTTTATCTGTGCCCAGGCCTGTTCCATGAGGTCACCGTATTTACTCTGAGCTCCCCCTCACCACTGGTTCTCTGCCTCTCACGTTTATATTTGTGGAAGTTTGCATTTGAGAATTCCTTGTATTGTTTTTGGCATATAATGTTTTGGGCCCTCATATGTTGTGTTGAATGAGTGTGTAAATGAAAATTGTACTTATAATTCCTTCAGAATCCATTCCTTTTTAAGCATAGCCCTGGGGCTTCTTTCAAAGAGCAAGTATTCTTTCCCTAATCCATAAGAGTTCAAAATTTACACATCCCAAATTTAAAATTTTTTATCTTGTAATGCTTTTCTGTAAAGTGAAAACATTTTCTTATGCTAACATAGTAATTTGATTTTTTTTTTCCAGCTGCCTTTGCAGCAGTATTGCACTGGTAAGATTGTTTTTCTTGTTATAGTATATTTTATGCAGATATTTGTAATTTACCAAAGCTCTTTCCCATATATAAAAGAACAATTTCAGTGTGATAAGGATGAATATATACTATCATATGCAACACAAGGTCTGAAGAAGTAGTTTAATTGATAAATCAGGGTCAGAATAATGTAATTTTTTAATAAAAAAGGGATCCATTATTCGAGGTTATATTTAAGACTCCACTGAACATTAATATAGTGTTCATGTTGAGAGGAAGATTAATTTTTTTTAATCTTCTGGATGGAGAGAAATATGAATTTTATTAATTAGACATTTCTGAAATGGTAAGCCAGTGACATTTATAGTTTAACCTGTAATTTCATTGCACTTGACTTAAAATATCATTATTCTAGTTCATTGTAATTTTAAAATATAATTTGAATGTGTTTTCTTATAGAGAGAAATATTAGTAAAGAGAAGATATGCTGAGCAGAAAAACAAATACGGATACCATTGTAATTGAGTTTTAATATCAAACTATATGTAAATTTATAGATGATTTTATTTTTCTTCAGTTTCTTTTAAAAATAATACTTGGTGTAAGTTTCAGCACTTGCTTTTTGTTGCTTTTTGATTTTTACAGGAGCCATATAACACACCTCTTTGAAAATGATCGTCATTTTTCTCACCTCTCAACTTTGGAAAGGGAGATGGCTTTTCGCACTGAAATGGTTAGTTTTCATGTGATATTTCATTGTAGCATATTATGAGTCTAAAAATTTTAGGTTTTTTTTTCATGGAAATTTTCAGAAGTAGGAAGAACAGACATCTCCCCTTCCCCAACTCCCAGCTTCAACACATTTTTCTTTCATCTACACCTCCATGCATCCATTTCTTTCTAATGGAAATCTCAAACGTACTATTTTATCTGTGAGTACTTTCATATGTATCTTGAAAGAAAGGACTTTGCTGTTAACCAGAGTACCATTGTCACAAATGAAACAGTGAACAGCAATTGCTTAATAGCATCAAATATTCAATCAGTGTTTAAATTACCTGAGTAGCTTTTTAATTTTTTTAGCAGTTGGTGTGTTGGTATGCTTGTCCATCCATTGCATTTGATTGATGTATCTCTTAAATCTTTTAATCTATAAATTACTCTGCTCATTTTTGTTGTTGTTGTGTTTTGCTATTTATTTGTTAAGGAATCCAGGTCATTTGTCTTGTAAAATCACACACAGTAATTCATGAATTTATTATGTATGTTCCACTGTCTCAAGTTTCTGGAAAATTGGTTTAGATAAGATACTGGATAGCTGAAGGTTTGATTTTTTTCTTGTGGCCCCAATACTGTAAGTAGTGCTGTGTACTTACTGTATCTTATCAAGAGTCACATCATATCTGGTTGTTTCACTTTCTGGGATGTTATGATTGATCAGTGGCTTTAGGTATTGTCCTGTTGATTCCTCCATGATAGCCTAGCCATCACCCTAGATCAAGTTATTTCATAGGATTTCCAAGTGGTGATTATTCTATTATTTTTCCCCACATTTACTAACTACAATTTTCCTATAAGAAAGAACTTTCCTATAAGAAATCCTTCCTTTGGGGTATCATGATCTGATGGGTGTTAACAATTTTTGTATATTCATCTGTCTTTAGCTGGTGAGAGTCCATGCAGTTGGTTCTGTGTCCCCTTGACATGACCTCACTAGTGTTCAGTGGCTTCCTTACTTCCTGGTAGTACAAGACATTTCCTCTCCAGATCTGGGGATGTCCACTTTTCCAAGGAGCCCTTATTCCTTTCAGTGGCAAGTGGTATTTAGAGATCACAGTTTTGGTGCTGCAGATGCCCATTGCTTCTATTTTATGTGGATTGGCCATTGTGGCTTAGGCCTCTTTAGGAAACCGAATTAGGAAACAATTTTTTTAAAGAGAAAATAAATTTACATTCATACTTCTTAAGAATTCAAATTTAGAATTAGATGGTTTTTACTTATTTTGTATTGAATTTGTATCTTTTCTGTTAGGCCAAGAATCTTAGTTTCAAATTACTTATTTTTGAGGAATGAAAGTACCAAAGATATTAAAAATATGATTACTGAAAACAATATAAGACTTTCTTGCATTTCTCTTTGACTTTAGGATATATTCCCCTAGGGATGTACAGTAAAATTATTCTATCTTAAAGTTATTTGAGATTCTCTCTCAACTTGATAGTTTAATTATTTTAATTATTTGATAGTTCAGGATTGCAAAATTTTTGTTTTATGACTAAATAAGACATTTATATGATTCCAAAATCAAACCTATAAAACAAGGTAGGTCATAGTAATTTCCTAGGGCTGCCATAACAAAACATAATAAACTAGGCAACTTAATTGAGCAGAAATTTATTCTCTCACAATTCTGGAGGCTTAAGGTCTGAAATGAAGACATTAGGAGGGCCATGTTCTCTCTGCTCTATGGGAGAATCCTTCCTTGCCTTTTCCTAACTTCTCATGGTTTTTAGCAACCCTTGGTGCTCCTTGGCTTACACTGGAGATGCACTCCCTCCAGACTCCACCTCTGCCTTCATGTAGCATTTTTCCCTATGTCTCTGTATCTAAATTTCTCTCCTATCACAAAGATACCAGTTCTACTGGATTTAAAGTCCACCTTTATCCAGTATGATATCATTTTAATTTGGTTACATTTGCAAGGAACCCATTCCTAATAAGGTCACATTCACAGTTTCCAGTGACCATGAAGTTTTGGGTGACAGTCAACCCAGTGCAGTAGGAACTATTTGAAAAATAGTGATGAGAGCTGAGCATGGTATTAAGAACCATTTTTTTTCCTTTTCAGTAAATATCTGGGTTGGCAAATCAGTTTCATATTTGTGAACCTTAAACCCAGTTTAGAATTTGACAGCTAATGGTACCGGTTACCGGGGCAGCTCTAGGCAGAATTGTGTAGAAGACGGAGTTTGTTTCTGTGTTCATCTGTCTTGCCCTGTACTGCCATTTATATTCCCTCCTGAGACTTCTAGCTTGCTTGTTTTTTTGTCCTATGTGTCATTACAATCTTGATATATTTCCTAATTAGCAATCAAGCTAAAAATTATTTATATCCCTCAAAATGGGAGTGTCCCCACTGTCCCTCTCCCTCACCTCCACAGCCCCAGTCCTGCAGAGTTCTTACCTTATGCAGAGTTGAAAGGAAGGAAAATAAAATAGTTTGTAAAATTACTTGACATCTGAATACTATTTATATGAAATATATCACTGTATAGCCTTCCTAATATATTTGTATTTTTATATGTAAATCTGGAGAAAAGATGGCTGATAGTGCCATTTTGGGGATTCAAATCAACAGTGAGGGGGAACATTTTTGGCTAGGGAAGATTTCTTGGGTCATGGCAAATTTAAGTTCCATAGTAAACCATATGCACCCTGTTCATAAGGTAGCCTTTTCTAACACTTAAATCAGTATGGGTTATAGGGTTTTCTTAAATGAAATATGCTATCTATATATTACTTTTTAAATGTTAAAACTATTTTTGAAGCTACATTTAGAGTTCAATGTGGTTTTTGCAACCTAAGAATTTATCAGTGATCGGAGACTTGTGGAATGAAAGCTATTGTAGCTATTACTTGCTTGATTGTTTTGTTTTTCAAAAACAGTATATTTCAGGATATTTAAGGTCTTTTTAAGCTAATAAGAGGCATAGTAATTATGTACTTTTTATTACAACTATAACATATGCTTATTTCAGGGACTATATTATTCCTATTTTAAGACTATTGTGGAAGCACCTTCATTTTTGAATGGAGTATGGATGATTATGAATGATAAGATGACTGAATACCCTCTTATTATTAATACATTAAAAAGATTCAATCTTTATCCTGAGGTAAGTTATTCTTTAATTGTGATTTTTTTTTTTACTTTTTAACAGAGTTATTTGTATTAAATGCTGATTCTCAATCTAAGGCATAATTTGGTATATTAAATTTTATCTAATTTTTTAAAGAAAATGTGTATCTTAGAAAGGAATATAGAAAAAAGATTGTTATTAAATTTGTGGGGGCTTTAACTTATTTTATGGGGACTGTTATTATGGTTGCATAGTTTAGAAAATGTGGAAACTATCTAGATTTGGTGTGTTTATAGGGATTATAGCAAGAGAGAACCCTTACTTTTACATGTCCTTTGCCAAATAATAATTCTTCCTTATCTGGGATTCTTCACTTAATTGAATGTACTTTCTCCAGGTAGAGGTGAGGGAAAGATGGGCCCCCCCAGGAGGTAAGGGAGGAAGGTGGTGATATCAGCAATATTTTTGGCCTCTCCTTTACCATCCCTGCCTTCATTTGACACATCCCGAAGCATTCTTCAGGGCCAGCTGAGATGTGATTTCCTCCTTGACTTGATATGAGGTTCCCCTGTGATTTCCCTTCTGAGCATGCTGACACTGCTAGAAAGCATGTGGCCTGATGCCAGGGCCGCGGGGGGCGTGGCTGCTTTGGTGTCTGTGGGCATCTCAAGTCTAGGCTCAGTATCAGCACTCAACAGGGCTCTCAGTCTTTCCCATTGAGTGAGAGGAAGAGTCGAACTTTCCAGATCAGTGAGTTAGCTGGATTGATTAGTGATGAAATAGAGATAAAGGAGATAGAGACAAAGAAACTACCACCACCCAGGTTCAGTGTTTTCTTACTAATGCACTGCTTAATGAGTACTTTCTATAACCATGTACATATTTACTTTTACAGAAATGGAATCACATGGCACATTTTTTTATAAGTGCCTTTTTTCTTTTAGGAATATTTATAACAGTCTTTCTATTTCTTCTTTTCTTCTACAGCATCATTTTTAGTGACTGTATATGACATCTATTGTTTAGTCCATCTTCTATGAAAATTTTGGTTGTTTTCAACTTTTGAAATATCCTAAGCTGCTGTAAGCATCCTCGAAGCTAAATATATACATCCTTACTTTTATAAACTATAAAGTTGTTGGTATGGAACAATTTAGTTGAACAGAATTTATACTCCAGTGATTTTGGTACAAGTTGCCAAAATGCCTTCTGTATAGGTTATACTAATTAAAATTCCCACTGGTGGTGTTTTGGAAAGTGCTTGGTTCTCTATGTCTTTGCTTATTTGATAGGCCAAAAAATTAAAATCATATCATATATTTTGCTTATTTATATATATACCCATTCAATACTATATATTAAAAATGCATTCTCACTTTAAAAAAATAATTGCTTTTTCATACACTTTGTCTTTATTTTCTATTGAAATTTTGTAAAATCTCATTTATTATATGTAGGATGGTAATACTATGCTGTAAACATTTTTCCAAGCTCTTTGTGTGCCTTTTAGCTGTATGTGTGATGTGTATATAATTTTTTTATACAGAAATATTATATCTATGAATCTTTTAAATTTGTGGTTTCTTGTTTATTCATATATATAAAAAACTTCAATCTCTAATCATTATAATTATGTTTTTTATATTTACATTTTTAATTTATCTAGAATTTGTTTTGATGCACAGTGTGGGGTAAGAATCCAACCTTCCAGTTTTTAAAATGTCTTCTGTGTAACCTAACACTTTGATGAGTGGCTTATCTTCTCCCTACTGATATGTATGTGGTAGCTTGCTTTATTATATACAAAATTATACATGCCAACCTCCAGGGGCATGAAGGAAATGGGATGAGGTAGGAGGAGGACTTGGGCTGTGGTGCAGTCACAACAAAGGCCTGAGCCAATCCCACGGGAGCTCTGGAGCCAGGATGGCCCTGTAGAGTTGTCCTATCTAGAGACAAGGGCCCCTGCCTTTATATTCCTCCCTCTTGACTAGTCAGACATTGGATGCAGTTGCCCTTGGGTGGAGTGTGTGACCTTTAATGAATTTACAGTCTTCAGCAGAGGTAGTTCCTACAGTGCCACTTGGCTGGGAGCAGACAGCCACTAGCCCTGCCCACTGCTGGGAATGAGTGCCTCAGCCCTGAAGGAAGGTCTGGTGGCATGCCGCTATCTCCATCCCAGTTCCTTTGATCTGTCTACTATTCTTGTGCCACTATCACATATTATTATAAGTAATACATTTCACTATTTTAATTCCCTTCAGTTATGTCCTTTTTGTTATCTTTCCATATATCACTTGTAGATAACCACTAGCTGAGTATTGTTTATGAATTAATTTGAGGGAGAATTCACATCTTGAATATGAGATCTATTCAAGAAGACACAGTAACTTTGTTTTTGTTGAAATCTTCTCTGACCTTTCAAGTTTTATAGCTTTTGAAAACTAAGTCTTGTGTGTGTTTTGTTTTATTTCTCTCCCCGAGGAGTGAACAGTTGAGGACTGACCCGTAAAGAGTCTGTGTAGGGGCTCAGTTTATTAGACTTAAAGGGAGCCAAGTGCATGGTACAGGAAATGAAAATTAGATAATTGTCATAATGTATCCAAAATATTCTAGTATTGATACTGTTGATGATCTTTTCTTATGATGTCTCTGTTTTTTAAAAAACAGGTAATCTTAGCCAGCTGGTACCGGGTTTATATCAAAACAATGGACTTGATTGGTATTCAAACCAAGACATGTTGGACCGTTACCAGAGGTGAAGGACTCAGTCCTATTGAAAGCTGTGAAGGCAAGTTCTTTCTATGATGTTGCCCAGTTATCTGTTACAGCATAATAAACTTGCTGCAAACTTAGTGGTATAAACAACCATTTTATTATACCTTTGGATTCTGTAAGCCAGGTATTTGGGCAGGGTCTACCAGGGTTGCTTTGTTTCTGTGAAGTCAGAAGCCTCGGCTAGACTCACATGGCTAGGGAGACTGGAATTAACTGGAGCTGCTTCATTTACATTCTGGCTCCTGGGCTGGGTTGCCTGCAAGGCTGGGTTCTGCTGGGACTGTTACTTGGGACACCTGCATGTGCCCTTTCCTTGCAACTTAGGGTTTTGTATAGGATAGTATCTCAGCATAGTCAGGCTTTTCATGGGCTTCAAGTTAAACATGGCATGGTTTCCTCTAGCCTTAGAAGTCACAGTATGGCTTCCTCAGTAGTCTGTTGAAGCAGTCACAAGGCCAGCCAGACACAAAAGCAGGAGGAGCATAGATGCCATACTTGAGGAGTGTCTGTGATTTTGCGGCCCTGTTTTAAAACTACCACCACTACTACCCTCTTCTCATCTTCGTTCTGTTGTAGTATCATATGTTCTTATGGGAACCAGGGAAACCATGTACTGTATCTGTGCCAATTCAAAAATAAACACATCTTAATATAAATTGCCAGACATATAAAGTAAATTATAGTTAGAGCATACGCTTTTTTTTTTTCAAAGGATTGGGAGATCCTGCTTGCTTTTATGTTGCTGTGATTTTTATTTTAAATGGACTTATGATGGCATTATTCTTCATATATGGCACATATTTGAGGTAAGTCTACTCATTGAGAATTTTTTAGCATATGTTTATAATATATTTTAGAATGATAAAAATATTAGAGATAATGATTGGCTTACAGTTCAGTTTTATAACACTGTTATTTCTAGTATAACTACTTGTAGATAAAAAATTATTTCCCATTTGAATGATTTCACCATCGGCATAGCCAGCCAAACTTAAAGGCTTAAAAAGAGCCTTGGGGGATATTTGATAGATTTTAAATATTCATAGGTTTTGAGCATAAGTGCTATATATTGTTTACATAAAATATAAAGGAAAGGACCATTCATTATCAAGTGGTGTTGATATCAATGACTCTATTTTGCTTATGGTAAAATAGGAAATATATTCTATACAGATACTTAATATTCTATCTGATTTTACAGTTGAGAATATTCCTAAAATTAAATGATTGACAAATTCTGTAAAGGTTTTCATATTTCTTTTTCTTTTTTTGGACAGTTTGTTACATAGTGTACTTGCTTGAATACCTTGAGAGCATCTTTAGAATTTTGTTTTACTGCTTATTGATTCTTTGTAGTGCAGAGTATGAGCCTAGTATATGACTTTCAATTTGGGTTAATGAGCTTGAGTCTGCTGTTATTCCACTATCTTCTTTGCTTTGGAAATGTGGCATTTTCAGTTTAGTGCCTTAAAGATCTATTGCATTCCTAGTTCAATGTTTGAGTATAAAGCAGTTACTTGATAAATATTTGTCATAATAAGGAGATTACTAGATCAATTTAAAATATATTTACATATAGATTTAAGATGCTTTGATGCTAATATGTCTGTCTTAGCTCTTAATTCTTTTAATTGTGTGACTGGGGGAGACTGAAATGAAAAATTCACATTTAAAAGATGATGTAAAAAATTCTGTTTCTGAAACAAGACATGCAGAAATAACTAAAAGTCTATGGTAATCAAAAGAGGAGGCTGACTTGAGGGGAAAGCAAGGCCAGTGTGCCTAGTATCATGATGAGCTGAAGATGAGAGACTTGAGGAGAGATCTATTCATTTTGCTAAGTACTGCCCTGCTATCTTACAGAAAACTTTACTGCATTTGGGAGATATGTTTTTAAGTAAGAGAAGTCAAAATATGTACCATGGCATTATTACTAAATCATTAAACTATATTTATGAGTTGATTGAAAGAATTTCTAAGCATTTATTAAAATAAGCATTCATTATCATTTTCCCGTAATGCTTGTTATAGCCTTTGTTTCAAAGGTGGAAGATACGATGTGTGCTGTGCAAAGTACAAGGTTCTGCTTTTGGTTGAGGGATTCTAGATGTTTTGGCCCTGACCTGAGATTTCTGTCTTCAGCCCCAGCAGTCCCCTGATGGCAGTTTCCTCCCTTCATGGAAGATTCATGTTCATTTGTAAAGTATATACCAAGTCGTTTCTTTTTGAGACTGCCTGTTTCAGTGCTGAGAGTGTGGCCGTGAGGTGAGACGGGAGATGGAGGCAGTGGTGGGTGCATATAAATGGAAGATAAGACAGCAAGGATAAAATGCTCATAATCCTGGGCAGGAGACAGTTGTTCTGTCTGGAGGGGTCGCTTTATCTCTGCCGTGGAGCATCAGAGCACTTTGGACAGGTGGAGGAGAAAAGAATCCAGGGAGAGGCAAAGGTGGAAAACCTGGGATATGGAATGATGTAACAAAGTGGATCAGCTTTACTGGGATGCAGATTATTGAAGGGGCTTTGTAGAAGATTGAGATTGGGAAAATGGGTTAGGCTGGTTGATGTGTGACTTGAATGCCAAGCTGGTTTGAAACCCATTCTAAAGGAAACCAGAAATTTGACCAATGGACAGGATTCAAGCTGAGCTATGAGCTCACGCAACCTTTCACTTTTCTACCTGTCCCCAAAGTTAGCCAATGACTACTTCAACATATCATCTGTCAAACTGCAGGGCATGACCTAGTAGGGGATTTTTAAATAAATTTAGTATGTCAGGCCCAGCAATTTTTTTTTACTTGAAAAAAAAAAGAATACCAACGTAAATAGTAGAATGTACCACATTTTATAAGGTGTTCCTTAGAGAAATTTCTGTTTGTTGTTTATTGTATGTATGTATATACACATGCATGTGCTGAGTTGAAGGGTAAAGTCTCCTCTCTTATTGTAGTTCTAGTTAAAAAAAAAAAATCTGTAACAGTGCTGAGGGTAGCAGGAGAGAGTAACTTTACCTTAGGAGCATTTGGGTCTTTCTACATAACTGTCTCTGGTTCGTCTCCTAGCACCAAGGGTGGCCGCTGTTTCAGCTTCTTTACATCACTGCCTTGTGTCCCAGCCCGCCCCTTTAGTGTTGCCCGACTCTCTTACCAGTTGTGGTCTGCCCTCTGGAGCTGTGCTTAGATATGAAGACTGAAGTAGTGGCACACGTTTTCATTTTTTTAGCTCTCCCTTTGCTCTGTTCAAGGGCTTTTTTAAAACTCTGATAATCTCTTTAGCCCTGTGCAGACACATCCTGAACTCAGGGTTCTTCCCAGCCCCACCCAGCCCCAAATGAGCATCCAGTTCTTGTGCTTTAGGAGCCACTTATACTCTAGGACGCCAACTAGTGCCCTGTGCACTGAGGGCAGGCATGTAAATTCTGCTCCAGTAATGATCCTGGTTTATATAATGTTAAATATAGTTTTCTATCAGTTTTTTTTTTCATTGCATTTCAAAATGTTCTTGACAGAAGTATTTTTAGAGGTCTCAAATTACTAGGTTAGTTGGTATTTTTCCTTGATGGTTAGTTTAGGCACTCTTCTAACTTCATAAAATAGGATAAAGCTGCAGACTTCTTAATGTGTAGGTTGAAGAGTAAGAGGAGGAATCTATAATCTTTCTATAAATTGTGTTACACATTGGGAAATAAAAGTTGAGATTTGTCTAGCAGATTAGAAATTAACAGGCACAATGAGTATGACATTTTAAATCCAGAAGTGTATTTTGTTTTCTATTAATACAGAGGTAAATTTTCTGAAGTCAGATAAGCCAATCTTTTTCACAAGAAATGGAAGTAGAAATGAAAACAGGAAACATAGACAAATTAAAATTATTTCCCATTTGAATGATTTCACCATCGGCATAGCCAGCCAAACTTAAAGGCTTAAAAAGAGCCTTGGGGGATATTTGATAGATTTTAAATATTCATAGGTTTTGAGCATAAGTGCTATATATTGTTTACATAAAATATAAAGGAAAGGACCATTCATTATCAAGTGGTGTTGATATCAATGACTCTATTTTGCTTATGGTAAAATAGGAAATATATTCTATACAGATACTTAATATTCTATCTGATTTTACAGTTGAGAATATTCCTAAAATTAAATGATTGACAAATTCTGTAAAGGTTTTCATATTTCTTTTTCTTTTTTTGGACAGTTTGTTACATAGTGTACTTGCTTGAATACCTTGAGAGCATCTTTAGAATTTTGTTTTACTGCTTATTGATTCTTTGTAGTGCAGAGTATGAGCCTAGTATATGACTTTCAATTTGGGTTAATGAGCTTGAGTCTGCTGTTATTCCACTATCTTCTTTGCTTTGGAAATGTGGCATTTTCAGTTTAGTGCCTTAAAGATCTATTGCATTCCTAGTTCAATGTTTGAGTATAAAGCAGTTACTTGATAAATATTTGTCATAATAAGGAGATTACTAGATCAATTTAAAATATATTTACATATAGATTTAAGATGCTTTGATGCTAATATGTCTGTCTTAGCTCTTAATTCTTTTAATTGTGTGACTGGGGGAGACTGAAATGAAAAATTCACATTTAAAAGATGATGTAAAAAATTCTGTTTCTGAAACAAGACATGCAGAAATAACTAAAAGTCTATGGTAATCAAAAGAGGAGGCTGACTTGAGGGGAAAGCAAGGCCAGTGTGCCTAGTATCATGATGAGCTGAAGATGAGAGACTTGAGGAGAGATCTATTCATTTTGCTAAGTACTGCCCTGCTATCTTACAGAAAACTTTACTGCATTTGGGAGATATGTTTTTAAGTAAGAGAAGTCAAAATATGTACCATGGCATTATTACTAAATCATTAAACTATATTTATGAGTTGATTGAAAGAATTTCTAAGCATTTATTAAAATAAGCATTCATTATCATTTTCCCGTAATGCTTGTTATAGCCTTTGTTTCAAAGGTGGAAGATACGATGTGTGCTGTGCAAAGTACAAGGTTCTGCTTTTGGTTGAGGGATTCTAGATGTTTTGGCCCTGACCTGAGATTTCTGTCTTCAGCCCCAGCAGTCCCCTGATGGCAGTTTCCTCCCTTCATGGAAGATTCATGTTCATTTGTAAAGTATATACCAAGTCGTTTCTTTTTGAGACTGCCTGTTTCAGTGCTGAGAGTGTGGCCGTGAGGTGAGACGGGAGATGGAGGCAGTGGTGGGTGCATATAAATGGAAGATAAGACAGCAAGGATAAAATGCTCATAATCCTGGGCAGGAGACAGTTGTTCTGTCTGGAGGGGTCGCTTTATCTCTGCCGTGGAGCATCAGAGCACTTTGGACAGGTGGAGGAGAAAAGAATCCAGGGAGAGGCAAAGGTGGAAAACCTGGGATATGGAATGATGTAACAAAGTGGATCAGCTTTACTGGGATGCAGATTATTGAAGGGGCTTTGTAGAAGATTGAGATTGGGAAAATGGGTTAGGCTGGTTGATGTGTGACTTGAATGCCAAGCTGGTTTGAAACCCATTCTAAAGGAAACCAGAAATTTGACCAATGGACAGGATTCAAGCTGAGCTATGAGCTCACGCAACCTTTCACTTTTCTACCTGTCCCCAAAGTTAGCCAATGACTACTTCAACATATCATCTGTCAAACTGCAGGGCATGACCTAGTAGGGGATTTTTAAATAAATTTAGTATGTCAGGCCCAGCAATTTTTTTTTACTTGAAAAAAAAAAAGAATACCAACGTAAATAGTAGAATGTACCACATTTTATAAGGTGTTCCTTAGAGAAATTTCTGTTTGTTGT